CTTTGCCCTTGCTATTACTTCTGTCTGTAACACACACCCAGCCCCACCCCAATTTTTTTTCCCCTCAAAATTCTTAAGTCTAACTTCTCACTTTGTTTAAATTTCTGATCAAATGTCACCTTCTCAATGGGAATTTCCTTGATGTGTTAATTTAGATTACTACCTCACTTCTGCACTCCTACCATCCTCTTCCCTCCTTGGCTTTATTTTTTCCTCTATAATACTTATCACCACTTGACATAACATATATTCATTTGTCTCCCATCACTACAATATAAGCTCCATGAGAACAGGGTCTTTGTATGCTATTTTCACTGTATTACGTATATACACAAATCAAAACATCAAACCATTGCCATTCAGTTGATTCTGACTCATGATGACACCACACGTGTGACAGTCGAACTGGGTGCTTGGTAAGGTTTTCAGAAGTTGACTGCTCATAAGTAAAAATGGCCTTTCTTCCAGGGTCTCTGAGTGGCCTCAAGCCACCAACCTTTCCACTGACCTTTCAGTTAGTGTCCAAGTGTGTTATAACCATTTGTCCCTCCCACTTCTACATCTGGTGTACAGTATGTACTTAAAATATTGAATGAGTAAATGCTTAACTTTCTTTTCTTACTAGGTGCACAAATAAAAATGGTCTCAAATACTTTACAGATTGCAAATGCAAAGGTAGCCTGGTGTAGATTAACTTCCAAATCTTCTCCCCACAAACAATGCCATTAAGCCACACCCCCTCTAATTTCCTCTTAGTTGTGAGCAGAGTCATGACATTGAGTAACAAACTGCGCAGACTGAGCCAACCTAACCAGAGTACAGTACTATAATCAAATAAAACTTACAGCAAAGTTAATCAGACACATATTTAATGATATGCAAAATTGTTATTGTGCTGCATGGTAATTAGGCATAAATAGTAGACATTTCATGTAAATGACTTTAATTACTATTTCTTTTACACAGCCAAACCAATCATGTGTAGGATCAGCTTTAGGAGACTGGAAAGGGGAGAGAATGGGATACTTAAAACTCTAGGAGGTAAGTCTTCTCTTTCACCCTCCCTCTTTAGGTATTCGGCTAATAGTCTCCCAACATAGGTTAAAGCTTTTCCCTCTACAAAGAGGGTTCCATTAACAAAGATTTTAGAAATAGATTGGAGGCTGGGGGTGGGACAGGGGACTGTCCTCTGATTCCAGTCATAAAGCTGAGAGGAACCCGAACAATCATTAACTTAACTCATTGACAAGAAGATAAAAGCAAGCAAACTGGAGAAGAAAACAAGAAAGGAAATTTACTGAGGACCTACTATGTGCATGGCATGCTTGTATATTATGCTTCACATAATTCCTCTAACTTCCTTACCCTACTTCTACTCCCAGTTGGTTTATGTTTCCATGAACAGTAAAAGAGTAAGCAGAGCTAAGATGGCTTATTTTAAATACAAAAAAGCTGATTTGCGTTCAGTAAGGGTATGCATAGGGCATG